AAAAACAAAAAACAAAAAAACAGAATTGCCTTCCCACCAAGGGCAGTGGCTCATGCCTATAATCCCAGCACTTTGAGAAGCCGAAGCAGGTGGATCACTTGAGATCAGGAGTTCAAGACCAGCCTGGCCAATATGGTGAAACCCCATCTCTACTAAAAATACAAAGATTAGCCGAGCATGGTGGTTGGTGCACGCCTGTAATCCCAACTACTCAGGAGGCTGAAGCAGGAGAGTAACCTGAACCCAGGAGGCTGAGGTTGCAGTGAGCCAACATTGCTCCAGCCTGGGTGACAGAGCAACACTCCATCTCTTAAAAAACTGCTTCCCCCTCCCCAAATGCAAATCTCTCCGTTTCAAGAACCAGTTTCCTCCTGCTGGAAGATACTGCTCTTGCCCTGCTGTACTTGCCCCAGGAAAGTGCCTACAGTCCAATTACACGAGTGCAAAAAGCCCAGGAAAGGAAGAAGGGCAATAACAACACAGAACCTCTTTTGATACCCAAGGGAAAAAACTCCGTTTAAGCTGGAAATCCACCAGTGCATACACACGTACTCAGGCAGAGGAACTGGTATCTAGGATGGGCCATGAGGAATTCTTCGCTGAGTCTGTTTTTGTCCAGGTCCTGATGTCCACCAGCCTTTTTCCACTCGTTTCCAAAAGCTCTTCGGTAGTCAAGCTCAGCTCCCCACCTCTCCTCTGGGAGAATCTATGTTGATGAGACATAAAAACAAGTCTATTAGAAAGCTTTCTTCTAACAAGTCCTTTGCGTGTTGCACCTTGACCTTCCTCCACTGCACATGCAGAGAATAATCAAATTTACAGGGACAAGACAAAATTAGAGTTTTCACCCTTTTTTTTTAATTTTTAAAATTTTTGTTTATTTTTTTATTTTTTGAGAAGGAATCTCGTTCTGTCGCCAGGCTGGAGTGCAATGGTTCAATCTCCGCTCACTGCAACCTCTGCCTCCTGGGTTCAAGCAATTCTCCTGCCTCAGCCTCTGGAATAGCTGGGATTACAGGCGTGCACCACCATGCCCAGCTTATTTTTGTATTTTTAGTAGAGATGGGGTTCACCATGTTGGCCAGGATGGTATCAATCTCTTGACCTTGTGATCCGCCTGCCTTGGCCTCCCAAAGTGCTGGGATTACAGGCGTGAGCCACCACACCCAGCCAGTTTTCACCCTTTTTAACATTGACAGAATTCGAGGGTTTATCAGAAAAGCAAAAATAATTTCAGTTTTCCACTTTAATTCATGAGAGTACCTGCGCGTAAGCCAGTTTCAGGACTACACCAGGTACCCTGGGTCACCTCCCTGAGGTCTGCCTGGAGGCGCCTGCCCTGGCGGAGCTGACTGACTCCCAGTAAATGCACAAAAGCGCTGGCAAGGACAAGATGTGGCCTTCCCACTTTTATGGAGAAGAGTGGCTAAGCAGCAGAGGAGAAACAAGCTCTGTAGTTCTGTGTTCTTTCTGCCTACTTTCCCTGAAAAAACGGAGACGGTGCCTGGTATTCATCAAATGATAATCAGGCCACGGGCAGCAGAGCAACAGGTTTTTCCTGCACTGATCTAAGTGGAAGACTCTCTCCTGAGGAGCTGGAAAAGCAGCATTATTATGAAACTGCACAAGGTTCTTTTACCATTCCAAGGAAAGCTACCTATCACCCCCTTTACAATATTAAAAAATAATCTTTTTACTTTTTTTCTTTTTTGAGACAGGGTCTTGCTGTGTCACCCAGGCTAGAGTGTAGTGGCGTGATCTTGGCTCACTGCAGCCTCCACCTCCCGGGTTCTAGCAATTCTCCTGCCTCAGCCTCCCGAGTAGTTGGGATTACAGACATGTGCCATCACACCCACCTAATTTTTGTATTTTTAGTAGACACGGGGTTTCACCATGTTGGCCAGCCTAGTCTCGGAACTCCTGACCTCAGGTGATCCACCCGCCTTGACCTCCCAAAGTGCTGCGATTACAGGTATGAGCCACCACACTTGGCCTTATTTATTTTTTTTAATTAAGACAGAATCTCACTCCATTGCCCAGGCTGGAGTGCAGTGGCATGTTCACGGCTCACTGCAGCCTTGGCCTCCCAGGCTCAGGAGATCCTCCCACCTCAGCCTTCTAAGTAGTTGGGACTATAGGCACTACAGACCTGTGCCACCATGCAGCTAATTTTTGTATTTTTCATAGAGATGGTATTTCACCAGGTTGTCCAGGCTGGTCTCAAACCCCTGGACTCAAGCGACCACACGATTCTCGTGTCTCAGCCTCCCAAAGTGCTGAGATTACAGGTGTGAGCCACTTCGCCCAGCCTAAAATAATTTATTTTCTTGTCTAAAAAAACTAGTCATGGGCCAGGTGGCTCATGCCTGTAACCCCAGCACTTTGGGAGGTCAAGGTGGGCAAATCATGAGGTCAGGAGATTGAGACCATCCTGGCCTAACACGGTGAAACCCTGTCTCTACTAAAAATACAAAACATTAGTTGGTGGTGCTGGCGCGTGCCTGTAATCCCAGCTACTTGGGAGGCTGAGACACGAGAATCACTTGAACCCGGGAAGCAGAGGTTGCAGTGAGCCGAAATCACG